TCATGAATAAAAAATGATACTGACAATTAAATTATTCTGGCTTCTCATCTCATAAACAGATGTTTTACGGCAAAACCCTATAAAATGGGTGGGGTTTTAAAAGACTTTGAAGGGTTTTGAAATTTTTACCTGTATGAAAGTGTGAACGATTAATTGTTCAGACTTACATAAATGAAAAAGCCACTTTATTAGCAAGGAAGCCCTCTACAGTTTTTAAAAGTTCTTTTGCTTGCTTCTTCATTTTGTAAATACAAGAGAGTTAGAAGATAGCATGACACTTTTTTTCAATATGATTTCTTACTTATTAAATATTTCCAAACTTATTACATAAAAACTGTTAAATTTTTGCTAGTCCTAAGTCATTCAGTAGTTTGAGGTTTTATGCCCATAGCTGTAGTGGTTTTCTCATGAACCATTTGCAGCTCCGTGCTATAAGCCTTCTAAAAACACATGCTAAGTAATTTTGTCTGACTTTTTTTTTTTTCCCCTAAGAGTAACCACTGATGAGATTGGGAGCAAGATATTATGCAATTCTTTTCCTTCATGTCTTCATCTCCCCATTGCACTTTCTGGCTCTCTTTGTCCATGTCTATAGCTGCACACTGCCTCAAAATATTTTCCACTACACTACGTGAACTGTCTTTGTACTTTTAAGAGACCTAACAGAAATGTATTGCTCAGTTTAAACATGTTGCTGAGATTAAACCCACTTTGAGAATCTTAGCTAAAAGCTCAAAATCAGAGGAAGAGAAAGGTGATGAAAGGGTTAGATGATCTCTAGAGGTCCCTTCCAACCTCAACCAATCTGTGAAGGCCATTAAAATTCTAATATAAAAACATAGATAGCTTGGGTGGGGGGGGGTGTTGTTTTTAAACTTTAAATTTAAAATTAAGTGAGAAAAAAATGAAAGGTGGCTTGGATCTCGAGTTCTCTGCTTATGTCATAACACAAAGTCATGAAGATATTCAGTGGAATAAGAAGTGTCAAATGGAAATATTTTTCAACAATGTGTATCTAAACTTACAGTCTTAGAAAATATTTTTGAATTTGCTGTGATCTCTACCTAAGACAGGTCATAAAATTATCTACACAGTGTAAAACAAACAAAAACAGAAATATAGAAGAATAATATTATTTTTTAAGTGACATTAAATTATCGAGTTCACAACTTAACTCTTTTTTTTTTTTCTAGTAGGCTGCTGAAAGGAGCTCATCCTTTTCTTTCAATCTGCCTCTTATCACTAAAGAACATTAAAGCCTCAGCCATAAGGGCAATTCTTAAGCAAGCATATACTTTCTAGATTATAAGGCCTAGGGATCAGGATAGAGTACACTTGAAATTATACGTTACAGATTTCATTAAAATGTCATTGCAAGAATGGGAAAATGCAGTGCAACATGTAAAAAGCAAAAAACAGGATAGATAGAAAATGTGTAACCAAACCATTTCTTTCTTTTACTTGCATTGGAAAAAAGCTGCAGGCTGCAAATGTCTGTACTTCAAGTTGAGTCAATTGTTATTGCACACAAAAATTGTGCCTAGATGCAGCTATCTGAACAGCTACAAATGACAGAAATAGAGAGAAATTATTTTTAAAAGAAAAACTGAGAAGTAATGTACTTCAATGAGAGATTAAACATAGTAATTAAACATTAGTAAACATTATCTCAGAAAACCACAGAACCTTCCCCTCTTTCTTTACAAGTATCCAAAAAGAATCCACTTTTCAAACTCATCCTAAGAAACTGACCATCTCACTCTGAAGTTTTCTTTTTTCTTTTCCCACCTTTCATTTGATGTATGCCAATATCCTTCTCATTAGCAACTCTTCCAATCCTATTCAAGCAGCATTTCAGCAAACATATTCTCTTCACATTTTCCTAACCAGCTCTTAAAATTTTCCCACTATTTCTGAAGAAATTTTGTTGCAACTCTCTCATCCTATGCACAAATACATACGACATCATATTTATTTAAACTGCTACCCACTTAGGCATGCAAGCATGCTGTTTGATCCAAAGGAAGAGAGCTGAAGATGTACTCGGAACAGCATCCTGATAGACCGGCCATATACCACAATCGGAATCAGCACTGAGAAACTCAGTATCAAAATAGACCAGAATTATAAGGCACCTATACAAACACATAATAATTGAATCCATGATACTCATTTGTGAGACTACTCTGCAGTGTCTGTGGCTGGGCACTGGTCAATGGCAATAGGTCTCTGGCAAATACATTCCTACAAAAACCGTGGTAGGTCTGTTCTTCAAAGCACTAGGTGAGCAATAGCAAGTAGCACTTATTACTCCATAGGGGGAGCACATACAGACAGCTCCTTGACTCTCAGCACAGCAGTGGGAAGAGTTTGGGTGAGGACACTGGCATCCATGTGCCAGAAATATGTGAAGGAGGTCACAGTGTTTTGCACTGTACACGCCAGTCTAGTGTCAGAGTTTTAAAATTCCGGTGAAATGGGAAACAGTTGAGCAATGGGAAATTAGTGAAGGGAGAAGTAAAGGCACCCTCTCTCTGCAGTTAGTTCTTCAACACATCATTGAACTCCTTTCCAAAAACACCATACTATTTGGTGGCATCATGTAAGAGATTCAGCGTAATTACAGAGTGCCCTGTTCATATCACAAATCAATCAAGATAATTATGAAAAATACCCATCTGTATACTATTGATGTCATCATAGCAAAGTCTATTAGTTTTATACTGCAACATGCTGTGCAAGTTGTGAGATATCATACAAAACATGTGCATTGGTATGTAAAATACAAACCTTTCACCCTTCCTAGGGAGCATAAAATCCAACAGAGCTTAAATCTTTCTTTGTTCATTACAAGCATAAAATGAAGCTCTTTCAGCTCGATCACTTTGTTGCCTATTAACGTAGCCCATGACATTTGGATTGGAAACAAAAGAGCAGTTTAGTCACCAGAGTAATGGAAAAGTGAGTTTCCTACAGGAGTAATCACTTAGGAGAGGCTAAGACACAGGCTTTTAGTGCTTTTATTACTTTAACCAGTCTCTCAACTTCACATGAAACAAGCTCTTTAGTAGCAAGCCGTTGTTCTCCAACTGTATTCCTGAGGCCGACTCTGAAGGTATTACGCAATTACCTTGGTTTTGGGAAGCTCCTTGTTATTTTTTCCAATACTACATTCTACTTCAGAGCAAACAAGCTAAGTGAGGTACTTCAATCTATCTGCTTTCTTACCTTCCAGGCTTTGAAAGTCCTCTTTGGTATACTTAACAGCAACTTTTAAAGTACTTTTCAAACTAGCATTGAGCACAGACACTATTTATATAAATCTTTGTACCTGCCTTCTTCTGGAGTTCACAATGACTGAACTAGAATGACCTGCACAGTCACTAAGCTTGGGATGATTTCTAGCAAGGAAAGTGGTTGCCCAGCTTTGATAAGATGCTGGGAAAAAGCTTTATATTTAATTTGGGCAAATGAGCTGGAATAAGTAATTTTCCTCTCTTTAATTTTATCAGGCCTTAGAGATTTACATGTATATCTAAAGAAAGCCCCAGTGAAACAGTTTTTCCACTGCATAGTGGAAATGTGCATAGTGCACAGCGATACCATCCATATTGCTGCCTCATTTCAGTGAGAAGTCTCGCTAATGCTACGCACAATTTCTGCATGCACAATACAGAGGAACATTTTACCCTAACGGGAAGTTCAACACTCCGCTTGTGCTCTATTACCTGAAGGAATACCTGGTTATATGACACAGTACAGAGACAGGCAGCATCCTCTGATCAAGCTTGATTATTAGAAATGCTCCACTCTTGTGGGAACTTCAGAACTAAGAGAGTAAGCCATGATCAACACGGCTAGACAGCTACCATGACCTAGCCTAGTTTTTAACCATTAAAACATCTGTTATACCTGTTTTACCATTAAAATATCCTGGCTTATCACGCACTGTACCTTATATACATACTAAGTGCACACAAATATATATGCATAAATATGTGCATGTCATAGTAATTTATAATTGCTCATACATATGCACATACACACATGTGGACATACACAAAGGAAGTGAATTCCATTATTTATGTGAATTCCCTTTGTATGGCAAAAATATTTTGAATTTTGCTGGATTGTTTTGGAATGAAGCACACCAAACTTTCCTTTATAGAACGTGGATATTCTTCTGTTTTAGGTCTACTCTGATAAAGTTTTCATAAAATAACTATTACATCTTCACATCACTTTAAAAAGAAGCTGTGTGTTTACTCTTTGCTGCACAAGTGGCATGTAATTATGACACAGAATGAGTAAGCATAATATCCTCCTATCCTAGAATAGCTATGATCATAGATTAACTTCACTGGAAATGGAACCAGGGGAAAAGTGATAGGCTCCAAAAACATTTATTTATGTATCATTTCGATTAAAGGTCTCAAGTTCTATGAAGATGCACTGTTTTAATTAGGGCAGTTTTACTGAGGTTAAATATAGCTCTCAGAGAGCAGTATTAATTATTTGTATTACAGCCTTGCTCAAACTGAGAATGGAATTTAGAATAGTCTGTATTCAATTCTTTGATTTGAATCTGACATGTTATTGTAAGAACACTGTCTAGTACAAAATATTTTTAATAATTTAAGAAGAGAGGGTTTAGCATATAAATGGAGAAGAAAAAAATAATCCTCTGCCCCTTTCTGCAGCTGTAGACATTCATAGCCTTGAAAATGAATACAGAATTTATTCGCAAGACAGACACTCTGGAGCTGGTTACCTCACTGCTCAGCCCAAGAAGGAACTGAAGAGAGGCTGCAGGGGATATTATACAAATGCATGAAAAGTACAACTTCGCCTATTGACAACATACATCATTTCAACTAACCCAGAAATCTCTCTGCCTCTTATGGCATTTGGATGTAAACACACCTGCTTGTCTACAGCCAAGCAAATAAGAACACAGAAAGCAAAACAACTAGCTCATTCTTTTTGGAAAGAAAACTTACAGATCACTGTAGACAAGGCCATAAATCTGTGCTGTGCTCTGATGATAGATTCCTCTCAGGATAATTAGGAGCAGGATCACAACAAAAGCTGGAAGCCCCCAACTCAAAAGGAAGTAAAGCAGACAGCGTCGCTCTGTGTGTTCATCATTCATCACCAAGACGTACCAGAAATTAACAGCCTAAAGAATAAAGCAGAATATTAAGCAGTAGACTTAGTCAATGATTAACAGTTTCAAAAAACAAATCCCTCCAAAAGTCATAAAACAGCATATTCTGTCTCAGAATATGCATATACATAATAATTTTCTAACATAAATACTGTTTTGATTTTATTCTTATAAGCAAAAAGAGCTTATAAATAAGAATACTTATTTCTATAATTGTTAGCTTTGGAAGCAGACTATCAAAGAGGGAGACACACTCTATTTTGTTTTCTTCTTGAATTTCCATATCTTCACACAAAAGAACAACATACAATTACGTTCAGTTCACTCATCAAACAGGAGAAGTGATGAGAACTTAAAAATCATATATGATTCAAAATGAACAAGTGGGATAGAGATCTCTTGAAAGAACTGTTACTATGAGCAAGAAAACCCATCTAATAGAAAAAAAAATACTTGCAGAGTTTTAGTCAATCTTTGCATTTTCTTAGGAAGTTAATAGTGAAACATTTTTAATGCTTAAAACTGTTATGCATATTTTCACACATTATTACTTTCTAATAAATGTTTAACTATCCATAATTAGAATATATTTTGCACAATATTTCTTCACTTCAAGCCTATTATGGTAACTACACATCTGCATGTTATGTAATTATTTAAAATATTTTATATGGGAAGACTAAATGAGCAATTTCATCTTTTTCAGTCCGAAGGACATCTAATTCAAGCATGTGCTATGCTCCCTCGACAGTCAATGGAAACAGACAGGCATCTCCGAGCACCAAGCGATCCTTACACAGTAACATTTAGTTCTCTCCATTGACTGCACAGCAATTTCACATAAGCCTCATTTACATGCTTAACTTGTAGCTGTTTATTGTTTATTGACCCATATTCACTGCCAAGACTGTAAAGTGACGATGTTTGTGAAATTTTCTGAGTTTCCATAGACAACAGTTTGTTTTCTGTTTATCCAGGCAAACTGATTTTTTACAATCAAATGCTTAATTAGTGTTTTTTGGATTGCCTACATAAGTTTCATCAGGCCAGTGTAATTACAGTTTTTGTTCTATGATTCATATACTATTTCTATCATGAATCATAAACTACATCACAACTTGTTTTTCATAAAAATTAGTAGTTTGCTAAGCATTTTAAATGGTTCTCCACAGAGAGACATTTTATACGTATGTCCAGTGCACTATACTAATGTATTACCAAGTATGCATACTTTTGTATTAGTACCATATAATATCATATACTTTGTATTAGAACCATGTAAATATATATATAACATTATACTAATGTAATAATTGTTATGGCATTTGTCATTGTCATTTGGTGATGTGGAAACAAGGAAAGTTTAATCTTCATTGAAGAACACTGGAAAATACTAGGATGCAACTTGCCTGTGTAACTCAAAAGAACACAGGAAAAACTATTAGTTCCATGTTGAACATTAGCCGGAAGAAATTATTAAACAATTTGAAGAAAGATACTATTTTGTAAAAGATTTTGTCACTTACCGGCTGATATAATAGTCTTTTTTCTCTTACTTTATACATTGTATTGAAAATTTAAATTTAAGGTTCTGATTCTCACTTTATGCTAACAAAAATTCTCTGATCTCAAGAAAAAAAAACAGGCACGCAGAAATCTTCAAATTACGTAGCCTGGTAATTCTGCCTGGGCTGTGCTCCAATGAGAACATTTCTAGACAGCAAATCTTTGAATTGATTCATGCAATTACAGTCAAGGATTGTCGGTTCTACTAATTCACACTATCTGGTCACCATTATTCTCATTCACACAACTGAGACTATTTTCCAAGAATTGGCATCATACATCCTTGTCTTATGTTTGCTTAGCCACATTTACCCATATCACCTAATTTACCATTGAAGAACACTTAACACCAGTGTTCCTTCAAAGATTTAAGGGTGTTTAGTTAGCTCACCATTTCCTTTGCAGTTACATTTATATCTTGATAATTATATAAGCTCTTATCTTCAGCCCCCTTTCAATTATCCAAAATTAAATAAATGAAATACAAATAATAGAGCTAATTTTAGCAAATCCTTTCCTGTTGCCATGCTGCAATAACCAGTCCTACAGAAGAATAAAATGTACAGTCCATTTCTCAGCTGTTTAGGTGGAAGAACAAATGTACAAGTTCTGATTATTCCATTGTGGAATAAGAAACAGTTATTAATTCAAGTAACATTTTAATGAGACAAAGATAAACTCTGACACATTTTTCTCTTGGTATGAAACAATCAATTGAAACAGTCTTCTGTTAGCTGAGGGCCTCAGTCTCTAGAAAACTGTCCATCTCTTCTACTGATTTATCAAACATGAACAACGGTATCGAAAATTACTCAAGAGCCAATGGTTAGGGCACATGCTCAGAATAGAAAAAAATAAGTTTATGTTACAATGAATATACGATTATAAATTGAGACAGCTACAACAGCTGAAATAAAGAGATTTCTCAAAATAAACAATGGCTAGAAGATCTATCCATTTAGCTCTGTAGTGGGAGATACAAATTCAAGACCCTATTCTTGTTCAAGGGGAGTAGAGATTCCAGCTGAAGGCTGGTTTCATCTACATTTCAGATTTTTTTCTTTTTTTTCTTGGCTCCTCCTATCTTCAGAAGTTTTCACAGCTCAAGAGCTGTCCTAGACAAACAGATATTCATCTTCATTCTGACTTTCTCCTGGCTCTTTTAGAAAGTGCATCACTTAGCAGGTATCAAAGATTCCCCTCAAACACCTTTGTCACCTCTGAATCACATGAAGAGCCTTCAAGGATCAATCTGATTCTGAATTTTCTAATTCAGAGAATATTTTTTAAAAAGACTAAAAAAGACACAATCAGAAGTAACCTCTTCATACTTCTTCAAAAGTTTGGTTTTTATTTTTTTTCCACAAGTGGAATACTATACAAATACGTAATCATTTTATGAAAGACAAATTGTAATTTGGCTATGAAGAAAACAGCAAAATAGAAATTAGTGATTAATTCTCATCTGGAGCAAAGATATTACATGAATCCAATGTAAGATATGTGGTATTTCATACACTGATGGTTTGAAATGATTTGGAATAAAGCAAGACTAAAATTTACAGGTGACAAAATGATTTAGGTTAGTCAGTCTAAGAGAAAGCCACAAGCGAAGCTCTATGAAAGGGAAATACAGCAGGTGAGGTTCAGCATTGACAAAACAAAAATCAATATCCACTAGAGAAAACATTTACTCTTGGTAACTGCATATACTGAGGAAAAACAACCATAATGAAAACAGTATTAGTCTTCAGTAGAGCCAGAGCAGTTTAAATCTCTGTTCAGTATGGAAAAAAAGTAAATAAAAGGCACCTCCCTTTTTAGGAAGAGATGCAACAGCAGTGTAAGTGATGCCACCATATAGCAGTGACTATATCACAATGCCTAATTCATGTCAAATGGAATTTAAAGTACCCTGTTAGGCTGTTAAAGTTCTCAGCTCTAGGGATTTTGCTCTGCTTAAGTTAATTGCCTGAAACAATCCCAGGAAAATGCCCAAGATCGTGCAAATGTAACATGGACTGAAAGTTGTGTTTAGATACAGCCTAATTTCCCATTCTGGATTTGGTCTGACACACTAGAGGGTTTGTACAGCAATGAAATAAAAGTCTGTAGCTGCCTATATAATGCAAGGGCTCTAAATGTGCTATGGACAAATCCGATTACTCAAATACATGCTGAAAGTTATGCATTAGACAGAGATAAATACAGATTCCCAGAAGAGGAAATGATAATGTATTTTCTAAATTAACTCATAGCTTGTTGTTTTGACTAGCTTACAGTTGATATTTTCCACGTCATACTTGATTGTTCATGGTCTTCCACTGTTATTTCCTTTTTTGTCAGTATCATGTTCTATTGTACAATGCATCAGAATCCTGGAAATATTTATGAATGCAAAAATTTGCATTTTAATGCAGATTGCATTTTAGTGTCCATTTTAATGCAAATTTTTGGCCTTATATCTTCTCTTTGCTACCTTTTGAAGGAATGCTTGTCATATTATGCAAGTCTATAGACTAAAATGCTACCTACTCCGACAATGGCAGTGTTACTTTATACTGGCATTTCAGCTTTAAAAGACTGTGAGAATCTGAGAAATGCTTAGAAAAGCTATTTAACAAAAACAGTTCTTCAATGTTTTGAGAAAGTAATTTTTATGGGATACCTTTCAAAGTGAGATGTGGAAATTCTTGCATACAGTTATAATGGATAGTAGTAGAAAGAGTCCTTATAGCGTTTGAACATTTCCTGATTGCTCTGGAGACAGTGGCTTAATAAAGAACACATAATACTTTTTTCCTCTAGTAGCAAGATATTTCAAACATACATATACTAAGAAATACTAGAAACACAGTCATCAGTCACTTCTAAACAGATCTGGAGGAAGAAGTGAAAAAAAAACCAAAAAGACTAAAGACTAACCTGGATAAGCATCCAGCTGAATTGGCAGAGGTAAAGGTAATGGGTAACAGATGCAAGGGCTGAGCAGCTTTCCTCTGAGAGATGTTGGCTTATGTAAGCTGAGGCCAGAAATGAAATCTGCAGGGAAAATATACACACATGCATATTGCAATCAATCAAAATTAATAAAATAATTGTAATGAGAAAAAATATCTTTAGAAGAAAAACAAACACTAAAGTGCACTTCAGAGATTAAGGAGAGAGACACTGGAAAACTATTAATATTCACCCTAAAGAAGTGAATCCTGAACAGCTGTGAGACTAGCTTTAAATTTCTTGCAGACAACCTGATACGCGCCCTGGTTTATATCGCAAATGATTATAAGGAGATTAAACGTTTATTGTTTAACGTTGCCTCATGCCATGCAATTTTAGACACTTGTTTTGGAGCAGGGTGGACATTTTCCATCATATATTACAAAGAGATGTCACCTACTCATTTTTGAAGGGTCAGAAATTTCATGGAGAGGTATTAAAAATAATTCACCAATACCCTTATATTGGTGTGTTGCATAAACACTTTAACATGCTGCATATTGTTGATGGAACATGCAGGCCCCAAATCTCCTCTGATTCATCCCCATACAAATGTAATTACTCTTGTATTACACTAGTGGGAAAAAATAAGCAGGTTCAGTTTTTCTGAACACAAAATATTCAAGAACGCAGATCTGCTCAAGCTGTAATGTTGTGATAACTTTCATTTTCAGGCTGTTCAGTAAGTGCAACACACCTATACTTGGGCTTAACTTTCTCACTGAAAGTTTGTCTAATATATCTTGCATATCACATCCACAGAATCTCAGAATATCACATGGGAAACTCTTATGAGTCTTATCACCTGCCCTGCCAATCCCTTAGAAAAAGAAATACTCCAAAACAAACAAACAAAACAAAGAGATATTTTATCTCTTCCAACCTATCAAACACCTAGTAGTACTATATTCCATCGCATAAGATTGCACTACTGGATAAAAAAAAAGAGGAAATGTTTCTTCTGTTGCCTATGAGTAGGGCAGGGTTTGATACGCACAATAGAGATGCAAGTTATGTCCTATAGGCATGCCAAAGACCAAAGGATCACCTGTCTAAGAAATCAAGGTACTTTACTATTGACTCTGACTTCACTAAATATAACAGAGACATTATTGGTTTATTCTGTATTAAAAAAGACATGGAGAAAAAAAAAAGAGCATGCACACATCTGAAAAAGTAAAAAGTTCCAGCCCTCTCTGCAAATTTCTTTACTGAGGAAATAATTCTACAAGCGAACTTTATTAAAGAACTAATGTCTTCCCAGAAGGAAAAGCTCGATTTACCTACTGAATACCTGCAGTGGTTGATGATTTTTGCTTCCCTTCACAAAGAATCCTGCTGCTTTGAGCAACAACCTACTGACTTTTTAATAGTAACAGTTTACAGACAGCCTGTTTCAAAACTGAGTTATTTAATGTAATTTTCTGGGAGGTGGATTGGGTGGGGAAGAAGGTTAAAGTATACAGTGGCATGAGTTATCCAGTATCTGACATGCATTTTTGTTATGAAAATAAGTCTCATTACAATGAAAGAAATCTTTATGAAGATGGGCTCTGTATATCAATAGACAATATTGTAGTCAATAGGTATCTCTTGCATGGACTTCTACTCCTGAAACAGAACAAATAACAACAAACAACTGGACTAAGAATAATTGTGATGAGCCATTCCACCGCCAAAAAGCAGGGGAAAAAAGCATTTCCAGCACTTTCTGGTGTTCTGCAGGGAACTGAAATCCAACCATGGCAACATTTAGTTATTAAGAGGTTAATATGCAGCTAAATATAGACTGATATTTGCTAAATGCTGACAGGGCTGAAACAAATGTTATTGTCCAGAGTGGGTTAAGTATAATTGAATTACGTGCACTATAGCTGCCTCCCATAAACATGAGAGCTGCTTATACAAACTGGGCCGCTCCAGCTAGCTCCCATGGCACCAGCAGAACTTGGTTAAGAACAACTGCTCGCAGCTCGCGGGCAGGACACTCGCAGGCTGAGGGGGCTCTGTGTGTACCAGGGACGGACGGACGGGCCGGCAGCAGAGCCCAGGGGGGATGCAGAGACCCAGACCGAGCAAGTCCTGTGAACACGTTCCTGGCACCTCTGAGCTGCATGTTGGCTTGAAAGGGTTTTGCAGCTGTAATCAAAAAAACCTATCATTTCTTGTCTCTTCCAGAGTCTCTTTCAAAAAGAATTAATATGTTTTGTACATGAAGAAAAAGAAAAAAAAAAAGAAAAAGAAAAAAAAAAGCATCTAGCCCTGTCAACAGTTTTCTAATCAAAACAATATAAAGGTTCCAAAGTTTTGCTAAACATACAAGTCCTAAATAGTATATGCCTATCTTTCATGGATGCTGATACTTGCTGAAGAAATAAAACAGCCAAAAGGCTGAAGTAATCACTCAGCTAAGAATTTATGCTAAGGTGGCCTTACAGTCTTCAAAGCAAAAAAAAGGGGGAAAAAAAAAGTCTGTCATGGAACCTTCATTTTGCACCCTGGGCAGAAGATAGAAGTCATCTACTGGGAATTGGATATATCCCAAAAATGAAATGGTAGACAATATTTTGAAATTTTGGAAAGATGACCATACTTTAACTGTGATGTTCTGTCAAATACTGTCAACCCCAGAGCTCACAGCTTATAATGAAACAACCTGCAATCTAGTGGAAGCACAAGCAGTGCAGGCAGTTGCATTAAATAAACCTGTCTCCCATGATCTCTGAGGTAGTTAGGGAACCATAGAAGGAGCAGCTTCCACCTAAATTGACCACTAGGCCCAACTGCCTTATGTCTCTTTGCATAATTTTAATTGCAATGGGCAACCTGTGTAATAAGGGCAGGATATAACTTATGTTGGAATAAAGGTCTTGATCAATTATTTTCTCTCGGAGCATCAAAAAAAAAACAATCAAAAACAATCAAAAACCTGTAACCCACCTATCGCATGGGTGTCGTTTGATGCCAGTTGTTCAAGAGCTCTCTGTATAGAGACTGTGTGATTTTAAAATGTTCCTTAGCAAACTTTTTTTTTTTTTTTTTGGTAATATGACATTTGGATCTATGCAGAGACTATACACACAATGTTTCCTTCTGCTACTCGTCCAGGTGATCAGTCCTAGCCTGAAATGATCTATTCGAGGCATAATAAGTGACTCAAACCACTCAAGTAACAGGCTGGCAACTCTTAATCTGTGAAGATTAAGATGAAAAAAAAAAAAAAAGATGATAAATGAATGCACTTTTGATAAAGTGAGAAAAAGTGATCTTTCACAGGGTTCCTCTCTGACAGTCATTTACTCAACAGCTCAACTGATCAGGTAAGTAACCAGAATACTGTTAACTGCTTTATAAGGTTAAGACAATTACCTCGCAGAAACTTGGGCACTCAACCCAAGTCATGAACACCAAACTATAAAAGAGTAAGAAGAGAGGATTTATAAAACTGAACATTAACATTTCTGTATGAAGAAAAATACTTTTGAACCGCAGCCTCCAAGCAGCAGCCTTTTCTGAACCTCACTCCTCTTCTGGTTAAAACCTTCTGGTTTTCAGCCTAAACTTATTTGTGGCCAATTTACATCTGTTAGCTCCTCTCTTAGAAGCCTCTCTGGTAAGCAGCTTTTCTCCTCCCTGGGGTTTGTGCTGTCATGAATCCACGGAGACCAGCAGTCTTTCCCCTTTTAGCCTTCCTTTTCCAAGGCAAACTAAGCAAAGCCCTGCAGAGTGCAGCGCACCAGAGGAGGCGCCTCAGCTCAGCCGGGCAGCAAAAGCAGCTCCGTCCTGGAAAAGGCGCATTCCGGCTGCATCCATCTGCACAGCAATCCTACATGCTGTGCTGTGAAATTCATACTCTCGTGTACTCTCCGTTCAGGAAAGTCTTTCAATTTTCTATACCAATTTTGCAGTCCTTTTCCATCACATTTTCACTCTGCTTCTGCCTTTCCTGAGAACAGGTACTCAGACTCGGATGAAGAGGAGTTGCAGGGGTCTCAGAACGCTTTTCACCTAACAGTTTAGGATGTCCTTATTTCCCATGAAACCACCTTTCCTGATCTATGGTAATAGCATGGTTACCTTTTATTATCTAGTACCGTATTTTCTGCTCATTTCCAACTGATTACTTCAGAGTAGAAAAACTCCCATTCTTAACCTACAAGTTGAGATTTCTCATGGTTGAACCAGCAAATATTACCCTACTTCATGCTTCAATCTTCAAAGCTATTCACATCTTTCTACATGCTATGCCAATTGCTATCTCAATACCCATTTATAGCAATACTGTTTCTCCATTTCATGCCCTTGGCACAATTTGCCACGGCACATAATTTTCCCTTCCAAGCACTGGTTCTTTAGAACCAGTGAAATACCTCTCTTCCTTCACTCTCTCTTACAGCTACCTTATTTTCCATTAGTCTTTCGCTTCCCTTGTTCAAATTCTTGTATCAATAATTTATTTATTAATCTATTAATATTTTATAATTATGCAACATATCAAGTATTTTACTGCATTTATCTTACAAATTCAGATTAGGTACCCTTTTGTTCCCATGTATGAGGACACCAATCGCCTCTACCTCTGTAGTAGTAACTTTCCTTTCATTCTACTAATTCTATTAACCATCCTGCCTTTAGACCAACAGCAACGTTCAGCATCACTATCTTTCCGCAAAACATGAAGATATAAATTTTATTAATTTGGAGCCATACTCAATTGATTTCATTTTCCTGCATTACTGCATATGTTTTACCAGAAATTTTACATTATTTTGCATTCTTCATTCACATAACTAAAAACCTTTTGTCAAAAATTCCACACACTAATGTAAAAACGACACTATTCTTGCATTATTCGATCATCCAAATGTACAAGGTATACTCATTAATGCAAAGCACAGATGATGTCAGGAAATCAGTCAGCTTTCTAATGATAAAGGCATTGACTGAAATCTCGTGAAGTCAGAATTGGTGAAGTAAAACACGGCCTTGCTACAGAAATTTTCAGAACAAACAAAAACTCCGTTTGTGTAAGGCAGAGTCGC